GTATAGTGCTAACTGGGCAGCTTCTAAAGAAATAAAGGACTCTTTCCAACTCCATTCAATGTACAAAGAGAAAATGTTTTGGGGACAAATACATTTAGAACTTGATGTTTTACAGAGCAACTCTAATTAAATCTGTAGCCGTATTTAAACACACACACACACACACACACACACACACACCAGCATTTTTCCAGGATATTAAATGTGGTTCTGAATCACTACTTCACAGAACTACAAGCCAAATGAAAATTTAAATGTATACATATGTATGACTTTACTGGGTGGATGACAAGACCACCTTTAGCTTCTGGCTTTATTTCCCAAGAAGAGAAGCTTAGAAACCAGTATGCATTTGTGTTTCTATCCATCAAGTCCCTCTCTTCAAGTCCTAGTTGGAGAAAAGTATTAATTATGAATCCGGTGATGTATATAAGCCAATAGAATCAAATTGAATAGATAAGAATGGCCAAAAATTTTCTCCATAATGGTATTTACTTGAAAAGGAGAATTTAAACACATAAATTCTAAAGTGTCTTTAAAAGAAGGCACTTATACTCTACGAATTACTAGGAAACGACGTTTTCTGCAACCACTATGATTTTTTAAAGTGAAAATCTCATCTGTGTCATACATCCTGGTACAATCTCAAATATTAATCTCTTTAATTAGTCACATTAGTTCTGGCTTATCATATCATCCTTGTGGCTATAAGCAGGTAGTTCATCTCTCTACATTTCCATTTTCTGTCCTATAAAGAAATGCATCTCTAAATAAGTTAATATTCACATTTGAATTCTTTATCAGAAGGAAACATATGTCTACCCCTAATATAAATGGCAGGACCAGTTAGCAATATTTAAGATCTATTATATCCCTGTCATCACTCTTCCAAACATTATAAAAAATACTACTTTTCTGTACCTAGGAAGCAGAGGTAGAAAGAAAAGAGGGTTCTTAAAGTAGAATCGAGGTTGGTTTATATATCGAGTCCCCTGCCTGCAAAGAGAGAGCCAGAATTAACATCTACTGAAATTTTTACTCCATATCTATTTAAAAAGAAATGAGCTGTTTTCTCTTTCAAAGATATACAATTCCATAAAGTAGATCAGTCAATTTCTAGGATCATGTTCTAGCTAGGATATGATCCATTTGGGGGAACATATACATCCCTAAGGAGTAAGAGAAGACAGGCAAATAGGAGTACAGGACACAGTTGACATGAGTCTATTGTCTCAGAGAGAAAGAAAAACTCTTCTTTATCTGGTGGACTCCTGAAAGGGAACAACAGGCTCCTGTACCTGCTAGCTTCACAGGACACACCTCTCACAGGCAAATTCTCATGGGCTAGGAATTTGCATGGTGAAATGCTGTCTACGTTTTGCAGTATATGTCCTGATTATGAGTGGTTTCATTCATCTCCATTAATTCAACAGCTCTTTGGAGGATGTTTACTATATGCAAACTACAAAACTAAATTAAAAAAACCAAGGTGTGAGTTTGCTGTTTGTCAATGAACAGGAGTCTGAGAATACTTCAGTCTTGCAGAATATTTTCAAGTAAAATGGAAACACTAAATAATACAAGTGTTAAGCTAAAATACAGTTGCAATTTTCTTCCCCTGTTAGGAGGTGAAATGGTAAATAAAGTAAATAAAGGTAGACTGGATAATCAGCTAAATACCTTAGTTGACACCCAGTAAAAAGCTTTCCTTTCCCTAAAGGAAATGCACCATTAGATTACCAACACATTGGTAATTGGATTTATGGAATGCGCAAGCTGGATCTAAAACATAATTTCACATGAACCGTTTGTTTGATATGAGAGCAACTCTGGACCTGGAGGTGTTGAGATCTGTCACACGTGTGCCAGAACTAGAACCCAGGTCACCAGACAGCATGCTGAACCGTCTCTGGTGCACAACAAGATTCATGTGTCCTCATTGCTGGAAGTGGGACATGGGCAGCAAATACCAAGCAATGAACTAGCCGCCAGTTTCCACTCTTGGAAAATCCAGCAAATTAGAGGTGCCAGCATGAAAATCACCCATCACTTGTCTAAGTCTCAGTTTCCTCATCTGTAAAATCTGACCACTAATTCATCATGGAACTCTACAGACCCTAATGAATGTGGGAACACTCCAGCCAGAGGGACTGGGGGTCGGGGGCTCAGGAAAACACAGAGCTAACACTGTCTATGACAACAAACCTGCTGTAGCTCTTAATACTCACCACTTGCAACTTTAATAAGCAAACGCATGAATCTGTGAGCCCGCCATCCCTCCTTTCAATATGCGATCACTATCTCAGTCCTGCCTCTCTCAAAAATGGCTGGAATTCAAAAAGAATACTGCGAAGCATTGAAAAACTGCAAGGCACGGGAGCAAATGGAAGGTGTTATTACCAAATCCTCTAGTCTTCTTAATTTGGGGGCAAAAATGGAATGTGGTTTTTTATCATTCTGCTGTCTTCAATTTTCCATCTCAAGTAAGACATCATCACCACCAAGCCCAGACTCATCACCTTTCTGAGCACAGAATCTACAGTGCAGAAACCCACCGTTGCCCTTAGCTCCCAGATCATTGCCTGACACTTGGGACTCAACCTCCCGCCTGGGAAGACTTGGCTGGGAAAGGCGTTTGTTTGTTTTCGCAGGGGCTCCTTTCAGCTGGGAAGGCTCTAGCAAAAGCTTCCTCGAACACGATTTACTCCATCCCACTGGAGTCCTAATGAAACCAGAGCTTTGACTTTTTCTTCACCCCCCCACCACAGCAATACACTCCCAGCCTCTCCACTGAGCCAGCGCGAAGTCGGGTTCAGAGGGACCAGACGCGTTCTCCCAACCGAGGCTCAGGAGTCCTGATGGGGGGGACCACTTCCTCTCAGGAAGGGAACACACGCCTAATCACCCGGCCCCTTGTTTTAGATCTGAGGGCTGACAAAGCCATCAAGACCCAGTGGTGAGTGGGGAGTTTATTTGGGGTTCACCACATGCTCCCTAAAAAAAAATGTCCCTTGTTCGCAGCCCCGTTTTCCATAGGTTTGATGAAAAATAAAAACGCATCAGCCCACCCAAACAACTTCTCAGGATCAGGTTTCTAGCCCACCGCACCGGACACCAGCGGGTGGAGGTGGAGGGCGGGGGGGGGGGGGCGCGGCGTGGAGAGGCTCAGACCGACATCAAGCGCAGAGGAGGGTCCACAGACATGTGTTGCCTTCCCCTCTGGCATCTGCGGGCACCAGCATGGCAAATCAAACCCAGGCGTCCTCCCTTCCCGCTGCCCCCCCTCTCCCACCCCCACTCCGCCCCCGGACGTTCAAGCGTCCCGCCGATGGGGAGGGGGGGAGAGCGGGGACCCGCACCAGTCCACCGCTGCAGCGAGGCTGGAACCGCGCCGCACCTGTTCTACCCGGCGCCGGAGAGGCACCAGAACCCCGGTGTGCAAGCCGCACCTCCCCGCACCCCCGTGGAGATCCCCAGAGGCGCCCCCGTCGTGCCCAGGAGCGACTGGGGGAAGGGGTCGGGGGGATCTCTCCGCTGCAAACTCTGTGCGTTTCCCCCCTGAAAGGCGGGATCGGAGTGTTGGAGCTGGGGGGTGGGGGGGCTTCTGCTTCCTCCGACCCTGAGTGATCGCGGGGCGTCCCTGCGGCCCGAGGGAGCGCGCGGGGCGCGCAGGGCCCGTGGCGGGGTGAGCGGGCGCGGGGTGCGCGCGCGGCTGGGGCCCCGGGGGACGGCGATCCCGCTGCGGCGGTGGCAAAGTGAGAGAGAGAGAGAGAGAGAGAGAGAGAGAGAGAGCCCGAGCGCGCGCGTCAGGTCTCTCGGGGCGACCCGAGCCCCCGCCGGGCGCGGCGTCCCCGGGGTCTAGGGCTGGCGGGGAGGAGGGGCCGGGGGCGCGCGGGAAACTTACCCCGCCCGGGCAGCCTCCTGGAGCCTCGGCGGTCGAGACCAGTTGCGCCACAGCCTGCGAGTTGCCGGGATGTTGTGGCTTCTCCGGGACGCAGAGCGAGCGGGCGAGCGGGCGGCCGCGAGGGGCGGGGCCGGGGGCAGCGCCGGGTGTGTGTGTGGGGGGGGGGGGACGGCGGGCAGGTGCAGGGGGAGGGGAGGGGAGGAAAAGCGGGGCCGGGGGAAGGGGGGGTGGGAGAGGGGAGGGGAGAGCCGAGCCAAACTCACCCCGGACGCGCCTCCGGCGGGGGCGCGCGGCGGCGAGGGTGCACTGCGCGCGCGCCGCGGCCGCTGTCTGTGTGTCTGCGTGTCTGTCTGTGTGTCTGCGTGTCTGTCTGTGTCTCCGCTTCCCCCCCCCCCCTGCCTCCCCCACCCCACCCCCGGCCAGGCCACCGAAAGCCCAGTAGCTCCCAGACGCTTCCACCTCCAGATGCAGCCTTGACGAGCCGAGTTCGAGTACACCGAGGCCGAGGAGCGGCGGCGCGGGGCGGGGCCCCCACGCCTTCCCCGAGGGCGGGCGCGGGTCTTCTCCCCTCTCCCCGGCACCGTGCGCGCCCGGAGTCGGAGAGAGGCGCCGGGCGAGAGAGCGCGCGAGCCGGGGCGAGCGAGCGAGGCGGTGCGCGGCGGCCGCCGCGGCTCGGGAGGCTGCAGGCCCCGCCCGCCGGCCGCCCAGCCCCCCCGCCCGGCCCCCGCTTCCCTCCACCCCCGCGCTCCGTCCCCGCTCGCCCTGCAGGGAAGCCAGACCGGTTTGCAGCAGCGGCGGCGGCGGCGCGAGTGTCCGCCGCAGTCGGGGCCGGCGGGGTCCGAGGCGGTGCGCGGGGGACCAGGCGCCCATCGCGCTCCCGGGCGCCCAGGCTGGAGAGACCCCCCCCCCCCTCCGCCCCTCACCCCAGAAGCCCAGCTGCTAAACGGGGGTGTGTGTTTGGGACCCGGCGTCCGTCCCTCCTCCTGAGGCCACTGCTCCCGGCTGCTCCCGATGGTCTGCCCGCCCGACGCTTCTAGGCCGCAGAAGTCCGCACTTACAACCCCTGCGTGGGTCCCCCCCCCCCGGACTAGGAAGGGATGGACAAGGATTGTTGGGCGAGGGAGCAGCTCCCCTTTCCCAGACACCAAAGCCCCATCTGCCAGGTAGGGAGAGGCTGAGGAGGGGTCCCGGCGCCACAAGTGTTCCAAACGGGGGTGGGGAACACTGTTCAAAAAGAAATCTGCGCTTTTCCTGACGTGTGTTAACTGTAACCCCTTTCTAATGACATTTCTAATAACGTTTTCTTTAAAACATTAGAAGGAAAAAGTGTTCTAATGGGGGGAAATGCCTATCCTATGGACAGCGCTGAGTCGGCTGGGGACTCCTGTAATCCCAGCTCCAAAGAGGGTAGGTGCAAATCTAAGGGGTCCTGGTGTGTGTGTGCGGGGAGAGGGGGGGGGGATCTGGGGGGAATTCAGCCCCGGATCTTCAAGCTAAGTTCACTTACTAGGAACTGAGAGGTAGCAGACGCCTCCCAGCCCCATCGAAACCAGACGTATTTTCCAGCCCCATTATTTCCTTCCACTTTTGCCTTCTTTAACACAACAAAATATCAACGCGGAGGCCCGGGGAGATAACGTTTCTTGGATCCCAGTCACACAACCCTGACTGCACTTCCTTTAGTTCCCTCTTTCCAGATTTGAAATCTCTTGGTAACTCCCAGGTCCTCCCCCACCCTCTCCGCCCCGCCCCGCCTGCAGTGAGTTTCTATTGGCTTAATAATCCACCTAGAATGGATCACCGTAATTTCCTAATAATAAAAAAATACCCATTTATTGAAGTAGAAGTAACAAGTAAAACAAGGAGCTATTATTATTCTTTGGCTAGTTTTCCAGCCTATTCTTCCCGGTGAAGCTGGGATTGAGGGGATCATTTGCCTGGAACCCTCTGCAATGTGTTTTTATCTTTGAATCCTAGACTTTTCAAGGACTCAGAGTAGGAGCATACATCAACTCCAGCTTGCTGGCTTTACAGAGGAGGAAACTAAGGCTTAAAAACATCTCATGGACCGAAGACCAGAACACAGTTCCCTTGACTGTCAATTCCTGAACAACAAGAAAAACGACAGAAACACTGGGTTATCAAAGTTCAAGATGGGGCCGATAGAGGGGGTGGTAGAGGGCAGGAACCGATGAGAGAGCCATCCTGCTGACTGGCTTGAATCACTGTATAGGGGGCAGCATTTCACCGCTCTAACAGCCTCCCTGGGATGGGGTTGGGGGGGGGGGGCAGTCCCAGTCTCCCCTTCCTTGCTCCTCAGACTTCTACTCTGAAATTCAAGGAACTGAAAATGAATCTGCTTCCCAGAGAGACAATATAAGTTAAAGTGCAAAGTCAGTTCCAGAAAAACAGGTAAAGTCCAACCTAAGGGAAATCACAGTGGGCCAGCAGTGTTTACGCACATTACCCATGCATGCCACATATGTGTGAACCTCCACACAGCCCTTCTTTCTCTTCAGAAGTTGGCCTTGACACAGATGCACGCGACAGCTTTTCAGAGGGAAGTCACAAAGCACACTACACACTGGCTATTGAGAGCGCTAACTATGAAACAGGATTCGAAGAAACTCTACAAAGCTTTGAGATTGCCTCATCAGTGTACTTTGTAGAATGGGGAATCTCGTAGTTTGACATCCCGATTTCTTCCCAATTCTTCCTCTGACTTTGTAAATAGGAATTTGGAGAAGTCATCCTCTACTGGAAATAAAACAACAACATCAATGGCCTTTGTAATAGTGAGTTGGCCAGAAAAATCAAGAAGCTCATTTAAAAATCAGAAAACATTCACCAAGTTATTTTCACTTCAACTGTAATTTTTGCCGTTGTGTGTCTTAGTCCAGTATCTTAATGTTGGTATTTAATTCTGTTCTATTCTTCAAGCCTGCATGGGTTGCTTGTAGCAGATTTGATCATTTGATGGTCCATAATTATTAACCCCCTTTTACCTACCACTTTTCCCTCTAGCTTTGTAGTCCTCGCTCACTGTAGGCTCAATCATGTAATTTACTCTGGCCAATGGAATAATAACAGACTTGACATAATTAAAGTCTTGAAGGGAAAAAAACCCATTATGCATTTAGAATTGCATATCATCAGGACATCAAGCTTGCTGCAGGGTGAGGGGCCCAGTGGAACAAAGGTGAGTCATCATATCACCAAGGCCATCCTTGGCTCTCAGTTGCATGTAGAAGTTCCAGTGAAATAATCTGGGCTTGGTCCAGATCCATAGACAATGCACCTGACCCATAGTCAGTAATAGTAAATGCTCGCTGTTAGCCAAGCACTGGGGGCTCATGCCCGTAATCCTAGCTACGCAGGAGGCTGAGATCTGAGGATGGAGGTTCAAATGCAGCAGGGGCAGGAAAGTCTGTGAGACTCTTATCTTCAACTAACCACCAGAAAACCAGAAATGGGGCTGTGGCTCAAAGTGGTAGCACGTTAGCCCAAGTAAAACAGCTCAGGGATAGTGCCCAGGCCCTGAGTTCAAGCCCCATGACAGACAAACAAAAAGAAAAGAAAAAAAGAAAAATGCTTGCTGTTATAAGCCACTGCTTCAGTTACACTGGCCATTTACTATTTCTTCTGACTCTATGAGGTAACTAAGCTTAGATATAGATAAGCAACAAGTGAGTTGTATACAGCTGGCAGCTGAGCAGAGCTGGAAGATGCTAGAAGGCATCATTCACTCATCAGCCATCTCAATCCTCTCACATAATAGCCTTTCCATGTGCCTAGACTGTGCTTCTTAATAGCAAGGTATTAGACATTTGAGATCGCTGGCTTGTAAGAGAAAGGGACAGCTAACAGCCCTTTCTTTTAAGGGCTGAGCTTCAGAGCTGGAGAAAGTTATTTCTTCTATGGGCCATGGCAAGTGACAAGGCCCACTCAATTCAAGAGTAGGGGGAAAAGAAGGTGGGGAGGTAGGCAAACAGTTATTATATTTAATGAGCATATGTGAAAATGGAACTATGTTCAAGGTATGGATGGGATTGGGCAAGATTGGGGGGAAGGATGGAAAGAATAGAGGAAATAGACCTTTTCTTTTCTTTTTTCTTTTTTTTGTCAGTAGTGGGGCCTGAACTCTGGGCCTGGGCACTGTCCCTCAGCTCTTCAGCTCAAGGCTAGCACTCTACCACTTGAGTCACAGCGCCACTTCCGGCTTTTTCTGCTTATGTGGTGCTGAGGAATGGAACCCAGGGCCTCATGCATACAAGGCAAGCACTCTACCACTGAGCCACCTTCCCAGCCCTGTCTTTTCTTTTGAGTGGCAGTATGTATGCAACAAGAATAGAAGGCTTGAAGGGAAACAGGCCTTTTTGGAGCCTGTCATTCATTAGGTTTTGAGGTGCTTTGTTGAACTATATTAGTTAACCAGTACTGTAGGAATATATCTTTACCTATCTGCCGTCTTGCCATTTTGCCGCTATTTTTTCGTGAAACTGCCATGGTTGTCCCTGAGTAATCCTGATCATTTTCCTCCCATATAGCTTCCATCAGTATTGCAATCAAAACCATTACTTTAGCTACTCAGGAGGCTGAGATCTGAGGATTGTAGTTCAAAGCCAGTCCTGACAGCCCCAACATCCTCTATAGGAAAGTCTGTGAAATTCTAATAAAGTACATAAAATTCTGGAAGTGGAGCTATGGCTCAAGTGGTAGAGTGCTACCCTTGAGCAAAAGAAACTCAGCACCTATGCCCTGAGTTCAGGCCTCAGGACTGGAAAAAAATTTACCTGATATGGGAAGCTTTCAACTAGACCTGGTGCTATTGATCCCAGAAATATGCCTGATATCTTTGAGATTAACTTGAGATAAACCAGGTACATCACCCTAGCTGAAATGACTTTCATCCAATAATTAGCATCGTGCAATCCTGAGTCTGCCCACCTCTTTCTCTGGTCTCATTTCATGTTATGGCAGATTGTCAAATGTGAGGACTTGGTTACTTCAAAACAGATATATTCTTCTTCACTGTGGGACATTGGTTTGGTTACAAATCTCTAGACCTCATTTCTCTGAAATGAGGGAGGTTGAATTTCTCTAAGTTACTGATGCACTTTTTGCATTTTCCCTAGAGATGGTTCAAGGGACTAAGGAATGTAATAAATATTCAGAAAAAGGAAACCAGAGGGAATTTGAGGAATGATAGTAAGCTTTGAGTCTTTCATTCCACCTGTTCATCTGTCATGTATCCTCCAACTAAACTAAGAATCCAGATCAAAGGCTCACATTGTATCCATTTACATCAAACAGTAGAAAGGAGAGCCTGCATTCTTCTCTGGCACATCGCCTTCTAGAAATGTTCATTTTAAGCAGATTAAAAAGCTTAAATGTAGCCAGGTGCTGGTGGGTCATGCCTATAATTCTTGCTACTCAGGAAGGTGCGATCTGAGGATTGAGGCCTGAAGCCAGCCCAAGGAGGAAAGTCTGTGAGACTCTTACCTCCAATTAACCACCCAAAAAGTCAGAAGTGGAGCTGTGGCTCAAGTGGTAGAACATTAATCTTGAGCCAAAAAAAAAAAAAAAAAACCCTCAGGGAACATGCCCAGGCCCTAACTTCCAGCCCCAGGACTAGCAAGCAAAACACACACACACACACACACACACACACACACACACACACACACACACACACGGAGCTTAAATGTTTACCCCTTATATAGCTTAATTCTTCAATTTCAGAGGGCTAGCTTACCCTAGGGACCTGGTGTTATTTAATCTCAAATTTGCTCTTAAAGTTAGTAAAATCTTGAAATCTCAGGCCCACTTTTCTTCCTTCTCTTTGCTCCCTTTACTATTGTCTGTCCCTCCCCACCTCCCTCCTTCTTTCTTCCCTCCCTTCCCTTCCTTTCTTCCTTCCTTCCTTGCTTCCTCTCTCCCCCTCCCCATCCCTCCTTGTCTCCTCTCCCTGCTTCCTTCCTTCCTTTCTTCCTATCTTTGTTTCCTTTCCTCTTTTTTCATGTTTTCTCCCCACCCCCTTCTTTTTTTTTTTTTGTCGGTCGTGGGGGCTTGAACTCTGGGCCTGGGCGCTGTCCCTCAGCTCTTCAGCTCAAGGCGAGCGCTCTACCACTTGAGCTACAGCGCCACTTCCAGTTTTCTGGTGGTTTATTGGAGATAGGAGTCTCACGGTCTCTCCTGCCCGGGCTGGCTTTGAACCGCGATCTTCAGATCTCAGCCTCCTGAGTAGCTAGGATTACAGGCGTGAGCCACCAGCGCCCGGCTTCCACCCCCTTCTTTTACTCGCTGCCCCTTCCCTTTCTTAATCCTATTCATCCCCTTGTTTCTCCTTTCTCTCAGAACTGGAAAGAGCTTTGAATGAGGAATCACAAGAATTGTCCACTCACATTTTAGCGCTGTCCCTGAACAGTGAAAGCTGGGTTTTTTCTTGGCCCCTGTTTGCATCATGAGAGTGGGAGACACACTCTGAAGGGTGCCTCAGGAGCTTCATGTTCTAAGATCCTTAACTCTCCAGCTAATACATTCAATGGCAAAGCTTGAAGGGGTTGAACATTAAGGATTCAAACTCCTTTAAAAGAGGTATGCCTATATAATTCACAAGACTTCAGTAACTTTTTCTTGTCTGCCCTCCCCTCCCAGATGCAAGCTCTGTTTAACACATGCTTCTTTGCCCAGAGGTCTGTGTTATCCTTGCTCTCTTCAAACCTCGTGGATGTGAGCTGGGTGCTTGTGGCTCACGCCTATAATCCTAGCTACTCAGGAAGCTGAGATCTGAGGGTCATGGTTCAAAGCCAGCCCGGGCAGAAAAGTCTGTGAGACTCTTATCTCCAATAAATCACTAGAAAAGCGGAACTGGCGCTGTAGCTCAAGTGGTAGAGCACTCACCTTGAGCTGAAGAGCTGAGGGACAGCACCCAGGCCCAGAGTTCAAGCCCCATAATGGACAAAAAAAAAATGGGGCTGGGAAGTTGGCGCAGAGGTAGAGCGCTTGCCTTGCATGCCCGAGGCCCTGGGTTCGATTCCTCATGCACCACATAAGCAAAAAGAAAAAAGCCGGAAGTGGTGCTGTGGCTCAAGTGGTGGAGCGCTAGCCTTGAGCTGAAGAGCTGAGGGACAGCGCCCAGGCCCCACAACCGGACCCCCCCCCAAAAAAAATGGATGTGTATATTCTTCAGCAAGAAACAACAGCAAGTGTACAAGTCTAACCCTAAAATAGTTCTCCCAAACACCTAACTGATAGCTTATTAAAGAAATTTGGGGAAGAATTAGGAAATGTTTTCCTAGCAAACTGATACCAAAATACAAAATTTACATGCACTTACATGTGTTATAATTGTGGAAAATATATGAATGAATAATTGCTGAAAGAAAATCATTTAAAATTGAAGTTACTCATGTTAGGGTAGGGGAACTAAAATTTTAGTCTTAAATTTGTTAGCATTATAGTTTAAGAAAGAGTATGTTCTGAAAATTACTATTGTAATTTTCACTTGCTTCTATTGAGTTCAGTGACTTCTTCCTTTCAACATTTTTTTCTTGCTACAAATAAGCTCACATGCATATATCTTTCCTGGATTAAATTTCTCTTTATCAAAAGTTACCAAAAACAACATAAGTCAAATTATGGTTAATCTGAGAGGGAACAAGAAAGGAAAGAATATTCAAATGGAGGAGAGAAGGGGAAAATTGAGACTTTCTAGGCTAGCACAGAGAACCAAGTTACATTTCAAAAAGCACCCTAAAGACCTGTGGCACTATTATAACTTTCTATACTCAGACTGAACTTGAGTTTTAAGGCCTTGATAAGGGAGAACGGAACCACCTTTTGTTAGAAATACTGATCTGAAAGCTTGAAATGGAAGGAGTCAGAATGGTGTCTGCTGTGTTCCTCTAGACGCATTGAAAAGTCTATTACAGCTCTTACACTGTGAGGAGCAGCGTGGTCAAACAATTTCTCTCAAGTCACAAAAGTCAGCTGTAGAGCCCGGATACAGATCTAAGGCTGTCATTTT